TGCTTGTGCACAGGCAGCAGGAAGACTTCCTGGAGCAGGGGTTGGGTTGTATACTGTTATAAGACTGCACGGAGAAGGTGATAAAGACCCCAGGTCACCCGATATGTGACCTCATGAGTCTTCATCATGCACGGCCACTGTCTAGTCAAAGCCAAGGATGAGATGACTCAAGAGCCCTGGAGGGGAGAAGAGGAGGTTAAACAAGCCTTGGTGACTGAATTTGCCGTTTAGTAGCTGGGAGACTAGGCAGACTCACTCACACTCAGTCTTCTCTGAAAATATGAGGGACACAATTCCCAGTCCCCAGAGACTGGGGCAAGGATTGAACCAAGTGACGTAACAATGTGCATACTATAGAGCCTGGCAGAGGTCGTGAGCCACGGAAAGAACCCTTGTTGAGGACTGTTGTCCTCTTGTTACTAGAAGTGGGGGGAGTGGCAGGTCTCCTGTCGGCTTCTGAGCTCTAGGTCAGTCTACTCTACAACCCATGACTTTCTGATGAGGCACCTGCAGTCCTCTCCTTGTCTGTGGTTCTTGGGGTGCAGGGCAGCCATGACTCTGGGATGAATGCAGCCATGACTCTGGGATGAATGGATATAGCAGCTTTGTCCCCCAAGGCCAAGGGAAATCCACTGCCTCTGCACGGAGCAGAACTCACCGTAGAGCGGGGAATTCCCGCCCTGGAGAAGGAGAGGCAAGAGAATCAGAAATTTCTGGCTATTCTACTTACAGAGTTTGAGGCCAGCCTGGTCTACAAGAGCTAGTCCAGGTCAGGCTCCAAAGCTACAGAGAAACCCTCTCTCAAAAACAAAACAAAACAACAACAAAAATAAAAAAGCCAAAAATGAAACAAACCACTCAACCAACACCACAAAATGCCACCAAAACAATCTAAATTGCTTTGTCGGTCTGCCCAGGATGGCAAGCTGTCTACATCGTGAAACACAGCAGAAGAGCTGTAAGAAGAGGGGGCCCCAGCTCAGGACAGAGACTCTTAAGTGATGGGTGAAGACTATTTTCCCAGCCTAGCCCTCTGCAAAAAAGTAAGAGCTTCATGAACAGGGGGGCTGAGGGACTGGCAACAGAGGGTGGACAGACACATCTTCCAAACATTCCCTTTGACAGATAACCAGCCCAAGAGGTATCAGGCACCAGCCGGACCCTGCTGGGGAGGAGCAGCCAGGCTCACGATGGCATGACAGGAATCTAAACAGATGTGATTTATTTCTCCAACTCGCTGGCAGGTTTTATCCTTACATTTTTTCTTCCTGTCCAGCAGGGCAGAGTGAACGATCTTTCAGTCAATTGGCAATGCTTCATGTTTTGGTTTGTTTTCTAATGTATTTGCATATGAAACTTGAGTCTGTTAAGTGGATTGTAGTAGACAAAATGTCTCTCCTTTATTCTTTAACTGTGTCTGTTGTCTGTGTGCATGTGGAGGGACAGAGGTCAACCTTGGATGTCCTACCTCAGGAGCCAAACACCTTTTTTTTTTCATATTGATAACATTTATGTTGATCCTGAAAAAACAAATATATATTAAAATGTTTAATAGTTTTGAAATTTTTGATAGACTTAAAGTACAAACTATATTTTATCAACTTAAAAATTTTTACATTTTAAAAATTTACACTTTATTTTATTTTTATACTTTATCATTATTATTATTATTATTATATTTTTGAGACAGAGTCTCTCTACATAATGGCTACTCTGGAACTTGTTATATAGACCGAGCTGCCCTCAAACTCACAGAAATCCACCTCCCTCTGCCTTCTGGTACTGGAATTAGAGGTGTGCACCCCCCCAACTGTAATTATTTTATTTTTTAGGATTATAACATAATTAAACAACTTCTCCTTTCCCTTCCTTCTCTCCAAATCTTCCAATATATTCCTTCTTGTTGCCTCTCAAATTCATGACCTCTTTTTTGTTGTTGTTGTTGTTGTGTGTGTGTGTAAAGGCAACTTGCTCAGTCTGTATAATGCTATTTGTGTGTATATTTTCAGGGCTGAGCACCTGGTATTGGGTAATCATTTGGTGTGCTCTTCCTTGGGAAAAAAAGACTTTTTCTCCCACTCTTAGCATTCCTTAGCTGCCTGTAGTTTTTTCTGTAGGGTTAAGACTTTCATCTACCTTGGTTTTTTGTTTCTTCTTTTCTTTTGAGATAGACTCTCCCTGGAACCTAGGCCTCATTGCTTTGGTTAGGCTGGTTGGCCAGTGAGGCCCCAGGGCTCTTCCTGTCCCTACCTCCCCAGTGTTGGGGTTATAGGCCCGCACCATCATGTCTGGTTTTATTAATGGGCTCTGCGGGCTGGAACTCAGGTCCCCACACTTGAGTAACGAGCACTTTAAGCACTGTGCTATTTCTCCGCCTCCTGCTCCTGTTCTTTATCTGATCTTTCAGGAACTAGCCAGGTACTGCTGTTTCCCAGGTGAGAGGCAGAGAAACATGAGCAACCTTTACTCTTCCAAGCTGAGCACAGAGCCCTACTCCCTGCGAGTGGTTGTCCCTGACCCTGTGCCTTCCTAGAGAGCCCCACACCTGCCTCACCTTCCTGGGGAGCCCCGCCTAAGAGAGAACTCCCTGTCCGCTCTCACGGTGGCTCCAATGAGCAAAGTTTACTGGCTCTAGAAGGCCATCTGTGGACTTCCCTCAAGATTTGTGCCATAAAAGATGCCATCTCACTGGAGGGAAGGGTAGGCTGCTCCTCTCACTCATCCTGAGTCACGGGTGAATTTAGCAAATGACCTGGTAGGAGACTGGCAAATAAACAGTAAATAGAATACTTGTTGCTATTATCAATGCCTTTAGGTTAACCAATAGAAACAATAGAGGGCCAGCCCAGCAGACAGCAGCCCTGTGTGGTGGGTTTGCAGGCCTGAGGAGGATGTGACCCCGGCCTCTGACTGCTTTCTGATCACTGGGAAGTGATTGTCAGGGGTCATACTATAGAAATTAAGGGTGTTGGAAGTGAGCATGGGGATGGCGGGTTCTAGGCTCCCTGACCATGCCCAAGGGACAGGGTGACTGTGAGAAGCGAGAAAGATGACACCAAGGTGACTTTTCTCTCCAGAGAGAGACAAGAGGAAGGGACATCAAGGAAGAGAGAACCCTGTGAAGGCAGGGAGGGAGAGAAGAGCAAGGCCTCTGGGGAATGACCTCGTCTAGCTTGGCTGGAGTGGAGTGGGGGCAGGAGGCAAAAGTGAAGTGAAGGAAAAGGAACCTTGGAGCTAGCTGAGGAATGTCCCTCTGAACCACTCGGGAACCAAAACCTGGTCCTGTGAACATCAAGGAACTAAGAGAACAAGGGCCTTTGAGAGCCATGGCAACTCCAGCAATAGGAACCGGGAGGGACCTACAGAGGAGTGTGTTCAGGGAGGAGCAGAGGAAGAGGCCAGGGAGTCCCTGGAGGGAAGTTATGTAACGCTTAGCTCAGTGGCACCCACACACACCCAGTGTGTCATCCATTGGGGTCATAGGTGACACTTCCCAGTGTACAGATAAGAGAAACACTGTCCCATCATTTTGCTACGCTCCCCCACGTGACTCTACAGACTCCAGTGTGAAGTCCACAGCTCTTCTCCAGGGTTTTATTCTTTGCTTGTGTGTTCTCTGCATGTGAAACGTGATCCCTGAACCAATGGGTCTGACTGGTTAACAAAGCCACAGACCCCGCATTCCACTGAGTTCAGCCCGCCACATTCCTCAGTCTCCCCATGTTTCTCAGAACGCTAGCATCTTTGAGGACTATAGACTAGTGCTTCTGTAGACCTTTCTTCTGACTGTGCTCGGCCGATATTTCCTAACTGTCTGTAAGTGTTTGGGTAGGAATTTCACCCAAGCGGTTGGTGTTGTTATTGCAGTTTATCAGATGGAACGTGATTTTTATGCTATATGTGCTATCAATGCTATTTGTGTTTCTCGACAGGTCCTGGTTCAGATTTATTTACACAAATAGCATTTAGGGATAACAGCTCTTGCAGTCAACAGCCCAGGAAGATCGAGGTCTTTCCATTCTCACAGGGATTGGTGAAGACCTCTGTTTTCATGCAGACCAGGGTTCTTGGCCTCAGCACTGGCCAGCAGAGCTGGACACACGAGTGCTGAAGGCACCCATGCAATGGGGGATGTAATGTGCTTCTGCAGCTTGGGGTGGGCAATGTGGACAAGTTAACTGAACTTGTGGCTAAAGCACTGTCGATTTTGACTTCCTTGGGATTTACCAGGGCCTGGATAGCAATGGCATGTGCCACAGCCTTGGTACTTGGCCTATAGTTTCTGGAACCTTCCGATTCTTGGCAAACCATGTGTTTCTCAGGAACTGCTTATGGTTTTCGTTTTCTTTCTTTCGTTTTTTGTTTTGTTTTGTTTGTTTTGTTTTTCAAGACAGGGTTTCTCTGTAGCTTTGGAGCCCATCCTCTTGTAGACCAGGTTGGTCTTGAACTCACAGAGATTCACCTGCCTCTGCCTCCCAAGTGCTGGGATTAAAGGTGTGCACCAGTACCGTCTGGCTCTTTTTCCTTTTTGGGGGGTGGGGGGTGTTTGAACCAGGGTTTCTCTATATCACAGTCCGAGCTGTCCTGGAACTAGCTCTTGTAGGCCAGGCTGGCCTTGAACTCACAGAGATCCACCTGCCTCTGCCTCAGGAGTGCTAGGATTAAAGGCGCGTGCCACAACCGCCCTGCTGCTTGTGGTTTTCTATGGTTTCCTTTCATCTATGATTTCTGCGCTATTTGGGAGGCTGTGATGTGGTCCCCAAATTTGGCTGTGTCTACCTAAGTAGCTGGACGATAGTGTTCGCTTTAATCGTTTGTCTCAGGTTTTAGGTCAGGTTTTTTCACCATGAACTTATTCTCTTTTCATTTTAAAATAAGGGCTTGAGACCATGCAAATGGCCCATTTCTCATCAAATTTGCCACTAGATTTAGGATCTGCTGATGTCTCTTGCTTTAATTATTACTACAAAGGCTACTAAATGGCGATTTTCTTTTTCTTTAAAAACATGGAATGCTTCACAAATTTGCATGTCAGTTTCACAGGGACCATGCTAATTTTCTCTGTATCATTCCAATTTTAGTGTATGTGCTGCCAAAGTAAGCGCTAAATGATCACTGATTGGCATGCTATTGTCAGGTTGAGATAAGATTATCTATCTATCTGTCTGTCTGTCTATCTATTTATCTATCTATCTATCTATCTATCCATCTATCCATTCATTTATCATTTATGTATCTATCATCTATCTATCTTCTTACTATGGACTCAGATTTCAAATTTATTCAATGGATTTATAATTTTTTGCTGCTACATATATAAATATTTATATTTAAAATTTATTTATGTTTACCTTATGCCTTTAAGTGTTTGCCTGTATATCTATTTTAGACAGTGCCTGCCAAGTCTAGAAGATGGCATTAGATCCCCTGGAAGCAGCATTAAGGCTGGTTCAAAGCAGAGAAAATTGATTGCTAGAAAAAGAACCTGGGTCCTCTGCGAGAGCATCAGGTGTTCTTGACCACTGAACCATCTCTCCAGTCCCCATCACGCATTTTACTCTTTGGACTGTTCCAGATTTGGCTAATGAAAGCACATTATCCAAGCTGGCTTCCAGGCCTCCTGATTTATCTCCATCACACTTTGGGAGCTTCCTGATGTTCTAACTCTATGGGGTATTCTAAGTTTATCTTGTACTTCTACCAATCGTTTTAGTTTCATCTCAATCGCTTTGATAAAACACCACAACCAAAGCAACTTAGGGGAGGAAAGGATTTTATGCCGCCTTACAACTTCAGACCACAGTCCAGCAAAGAGGAATGTCAGGATGGGAACAGGGAGCTGTAAATACGGGGGTGGGGGGACACTGTTTGCCGATACATTGCCCCCTTTTCGTGGTTAGCTAGCTTTCTAATACAACCTAGTGCTACCAGCCCAGGGAATGATTCCATCCTTATGGGCTGGGCCCTTCCTGTCAATGAACAATTAAGATAATTCCCTCTAGGCACATCCACAGGCTGATCCGATTTGGGAAATTCCATTAAAACCCCTTCCTTTGCCTGGTGGTAGTAGCACAAGTCTTTAATCCCAGCACTTGGGGAGGCAAAAGCAGGTCGATCTCTTTGAGTTCAAGGTCAGTCTGGTCTACAGAGTGAGTTCCAGGACAGTCAGGGCTATAAAGAGAAACCCTTTCTCAAAAACAAAACACAACACAACACAACACAACACAACAACAACAACAACAAAACACAAAAAAATGAAAACAAAAAACCCCACACAAACAAACAAACAAACAGAAAGACTCCCTCCTTTAAAGGGGGCTTTGGATTTCCCCATGCCAGGCAGGCATTCTGAGTCTTTGTGAGTCCCTCTGATTTTCATTCCAATGAATTCTGTGGCATATATTCTTCATGGAGAGTTGTTTTTAGAGAATCTAGACGTGTCATAGATGTATCTTTAAAAAAGGAACCCTGTCTTTGTATACTCCGTAGTGTTAGTGCTAGAAGGTGCCCCCTCAGTGACTGTGGTGTTCTGTCATGCCACCTCCGCAGCTAGAGCCTTCAGTGAAGTTCCTGGACAGGTGCCAACAGGGAGTCTCATCTTGCCCTTTGTAATGTCAGGGGAAAAAAAGGCCAAGTCTGCATGTCAGTAGAATTAGAGCTGCATGTATTAAATGTGATAATTATCCCCAGTGCTGTGGTGCATTTGCTTGCTCGTCAGGAACAATGATTTCTGGCAGAATGATTGCCCCCAAGCCGTACAAAGTTACCTTAAGTTCTAGTCCTAAAGTAGAGAGCAAAGTACACTACGGAAAGCCAAAGAATCAAAATACCATAGGGAAGGTACTAGGGACAATAGTACTGCTCAGGAGCCCTGCATACCACATCCGGTCCTCCTCAATGACAGTCAGTCAGCTGTCTCCAGGAAGTGGCTTTTCTGATAACACATTGCCTTCAGGATGAGGTCAAATGCCTTTTTACTATAGGCCTGAAGCCACTCTTTGTTTAATTGCTTCATCACAGACACTCAGGATCCTAAGGCTTTGTGCCTGGTGGTGTCTATAATCTCCACTGCCTTCTCCATCCTTTCAACTTTGTACATATTCTTAAATTCCTGCTTGTATGTTATTTGCTTGCCTCTCTCACCCCCACTAGGCTGCAATCCCTGCCCTTCTGTAGCAGGAACCACAAGTCACAATCCTTTGCATACACCTGGGACACAGAAAAAGATCAAGAATTCTTTGTAGGATGGATGAATGCTTCTAAGGAGTCTACTTAAAATGTAGATTGGAGGTTGACAGACAAGATGACCCAACAGGCAAGGGCATTGTCAAGCCTGACAACCTGAGTTCAACCCCTGGGACCCTCATAGTAGAAAAAGAAAAGCAACTCCTTCAAGTTGTACACATACACAAATACATGAAATTTAAACAAAACTTAATGTAGATTGAGCTCGAAGGTGAAAACTGTGTCCTTTTGCTTAGGAAAAAAAAATAAAGCAAGCTTTCACTACTATTTGGCTTCTTAGTTTTGTCAACAAAAGGTTGTCTTAAACCAGGCAGTGGTGGTGCATGCCTTTAATCCCAGCACTTGGGAGGCAGAGGTAGGCGAATCTCTGTGAGTTCAAGGCCAGCCTGGTCTACAGAGTGAGTTATAGGGCAGGACCCAAAACTACAGAGAAATCTTGTCTCAAAAAACCAATAAAAACAAAACAATAACAACAACAACAAAAACACCTGTTGCTAGGCAGTAATGGCACAGGCCTTTAATCTCAGCATTTGGGAGGCAGAAGCAAAGAGATCTCTGAATTCAAGGCCAGTCTGGTCTACAGACTGAGTTCCAAGACAGCCAGGGCTGTTACACAGAGAAATCCTGTCTCAAAACAAACAAACAACAACAACAACAACAAAATGATGTTTCTTTGATGCATCAGTAAAGAGTTAGAGGAAATGTAGGTTTTCAACAGCAACACATGGTTGGAGCAATGACAAGCATGAAATAACTTGAGTCAAACCACACCTCAAACCACTGCCCACAAGGACACAAGTTAAAAGGAAAACCAAGATTATTCCATGAAAACATATTGGCATTGGGCATTTGTTTTATTTCATGCTCTGTTTGGGTCACTATTTTTTGGTAGCTAAGTATTTGTCAGTTATTATATGGTGGATGTTAATTTCTCATCACTAAAATACAAATTTTGTACAAGATTAAAAAAACTAAAAGTTTCGACAATATAGTCTAAAAAGTGAGCCTGTCTCTCTTCTATTGAATTGGCTGCTCAACAGATGGAATCAAATGATCCAAATAAGCACATGGGTGTTAAATATATGTTGTACAAGTCACACAGTTGAGTCAGGAAAAAATTATTCCACTTACATTCAAACCATTTAGTTAATATTTTATATGTTTCTGTTCAGTTCACTAAAAACATATTTGGATATTGTATTAATCAGGGTTCTCTAGAAGGATAGAATTTATAGAACAAAATATATACTACATGGGGGGATTTATTAGACTGGATTATATTATGCATATTATGAATAATATATTTATTAGACTGGCTTATATACCGGAGAGGCTGAGACTCAGTAGCCGCTCAGTCTACAGATGCCTCTGCCACAATCTGGCACTAAAGTTCTCGATTTTCAGCCCATGTTGCAAGTCCTAAGAAACTGGGTTCCCATGGTGATGAAAGATGCGGTAACAGAGGCGATGCACTCACCAGCAGGAAGCAAAGATGGGCAAGGAGAAGCCCTGCTTTCCCTCTGACCTCTTTATTCTGGTCACCTCTAAGCTCACTGTAAATACCCTCAGACCCTCCCAGACCCCAGACCTTCCCAGATGTGAGTGCCTTAGTTAATCCCAGATCCAGTCAAGCTGACAAGCAAGTTAACTGTCACTGGGAGGTAATGGCTTGTGTCCTGACTGAGCAATGTCAGAAACACAAATCAGCATATTTTTCTTTCTACAATGTCAGAACAACAAAAAATTCAAAAGGTACATTAATTTTGTTGACTTAACTCACCAAATACTCCTGATTACACTTAGTATTTAAGACCATTGACAGTAATGAATTCTTTTATTCTAATCCTAATCAATCATATTAATTCTGAGAACACACCACTCCACACAACCATATATAGGTTACAAAATGACTAAAGATGGTTAATTAAAACTGTTGGTGGGGAGGGCAAGCATGGTGGCATACATCTTGAATCAGGTATAAGGGTCTTCTAAATTCAATACCAATTTGGTCTACATAGTGAGTTCCAGACTAGCCAGAGCTACACAGTAAAAACAAACCACTGGCTGGGCGGTAGTGGTGGGTGCCTTTAGCCCAGCACTCGGGAGGCAGAGGCAGGTGGATTCTGGGATTTGGAGGCCAGCCTGGTCTACAAGAGCTAAGGACACAGGCACCAAAAACTACAGAGAAACCCTGTCTTGAAAATCCAAAACAAAACAAAACAAAAAACCCACTGTTGTAGGGTTCAAAGGGCTTACAAGAATAGAGAGTTGAAGGTCACTGTAGTTGGTTAGTTGAGTAACAATTACATACAGAGGTGGCTCCAGGCTTGCTGGATCTACACCCACAACAATTCAAGTAGTCTTAAGTCAGGTAGGGAAGATGTCTGCTCAGCTGCAGCCCCAAGGACAGAATCAGGAAGTTTGTCCTTTGTTGAGCCAATCCCTTGTGCACCAGATGGTTTGAGGATAGCCGGTGGGTGCTAGCATAACCAGGATTAGCTGTGTTTCCTTCTATAAGGTCCAGTTGAGGGGGTTGCAGGCTGACAGGCTTGATGTGCTCAATAAATTCACTGGCCAGTTTTTTCCTGATATGGTTTTATTAACCCATGTGTTCTTGATTTAATCTGGTAAGTTCATAGTTGATGCTCTTTTTATTTGTAAAGATATCTTATCAGTTTGTGTCTCACGGACAGACAGTGACTGTTAACTCACACAAGCGAGAAGCAGAGTCACTGTGCCTCTGCATCTACATTCACAACGGAGTCAACTGCTCTTCTGAAATGGAATTACTTAGGACAAGATATGTAAAACTCCACTGGTTCTGTTCCACGCTCTTCTTGATAGGCGCTATGGGAACTAG